AATATCACAAGGAAAGCCTTGGCAAACACACTCTTACCAATAGACAAGGATTTACTGGTTCTCATTAACCTTATGAGTGTTTTATGATGTATGATGGCTATCCTCGACCGTAGAGATTTTAGACCTGATCTCCTCAATCCTATGCAAATGAGGATATGCTTAGGATCTCATCATCCTTTATGCATGAATTTTGTAATAAATGATGAAAAATCGATCTACTCTTCAGTCTCGATCAATATGAAGCTCAAGAGTGAAAGTGAAGAATAATAGTTGGCTAGTATATTCTAGAAAAATTACAATGATAAATCTAGTGATATACGAGTTTACTAGGTATTAAATAAAGATCAAGATGTTGCACAATAGCTTTATGAAGATGTATATGAAAGTGATTAACATTATTTTCTTAATCTACCCCGCTATTTTATGGAAAAATACTCAAGAAAAACAAGAGCAGAATAACATCCTTCACTAATCTCAAATCCCTAAATAAAATTATTTGCAATTCATAGTTGGAAAAACAATAGAATTGATAAGGTAAGAATTACTTGTCATTAATCAAAAGAATAAAGTTACTGACGAACCTTAGAACTACATTGTTTTAGAGATAACAACTATGAAACGCTCATGTTGAATTTGTCACTAAACTTTCTAACCGAAAATTAAGATATAAGCCCTTTTTATGTAGGAAAAGTTCGAACTCTGACTGAATTTGATTTCACATTATGAGCGCGCATTCATACACACAAGGAACTACTATGCAAGAACAAGAAATCAACACGTGCACGGTGATGTGCACGACATACGCGCGACCGTGCGTGTGAATGCAATGTCTTTTCCTCAATTTCAAATTTGGATATGACTCCTTTACAAAATTTGTATACAATGGAGTATTTGATCAATTCCACGTCTTTGACTTGATTTCGATTGTCTAATCAAACAGGTGAAATGGTGAAGCCGTGAAGGTGCTTATCCTAAAATATCAATATGATTGTCTGATTTCCTCATCTGATTTCACATTGATCTTTTCATATCTACTCCATGATGTATTTGCAAGATTTGTATACCACTTAGTCATCTTTCAAATGAAATTTGAATAGTTTCATTTGGATTGATATATAAAAAGATATTCTCAAGATTTGAGTTGGGCTGTTGTCCAAATAACCGTTTTTGTTCTTTAACTCTCTTTTCATCTACAAAGTCCATATTGAGCGATTTTCCTCTAAAACCTGGTAAAATTCCTTTCAAAAAACAAACACACGCGTAAAATATGATAAATCAAGTCTTGGAAAAAATATGCAAAAAATTATGCTTAGAATGTGCAAAGTAATTAACTTGCGACCACACATTAAAGTGTGTCAGAATATGAATTTATCAAATCTCCCACACTTAATATTTCCTTTTCTAAATCCAGATTATACTTATGGGGAAAAATATATGACACACACATTCAAGTGATCAAGATGCCTACAGGATTTTAAGGGAAAACATTTAGCAAACTATAACCTTCTAGTAAATCGTTCTGTGTTTGAGAGTTAACAACAACGATTCACACAATAAAGCTATTTCTTTTTCCAAGTAAAAGCAACCAACAATGAGTTCTTGCTCAAAATCAGAATGTCTTTCAGTGATAATTAAGTTGGTAAATGAAAGGATTTTCCATTAACAAAAAACATTAAGTGGTGCTTTGGTGGGTGAGGTGTTAACGGGATTATCATCAAGACGTACAAGTGAGGTATATGTGATAAATCTATTTCTTGTTGTGGTGATTTCAAATTTGGAGACTAATACACTTGTGATGATCTCTAGACTTCAAAGACCATTATAATGACATAATTGTTTTGGTTATAGGTGATTGTTATAGACTATTTTTGTTGCAAAAAGGTGAAATTATATCTCTATTCCAATTGAAAGTTATTAAGTAAACATTGTTGCATTTTTTTTAACTGCCTTTTCAGGAATATGTACTCTTTGCATAATATGAATGGTAAAAAATGTATCTAACATTTTGGCAACAGTTTGCTTTTGTTGCTATTTGTAAAAAAGGCTCAAAACTGTTGTTGTGCCCACTTTAAAAAACGGTTGTCTTATACTATACCTATAAATACGGTTTTCATTTTGCGTTGGCTTTAATTTCAAAAACTTTTCCCAAAAGTATAGGCAACGCCTTACATTGCCATATTTTTGAAATTGTTGCAAAAAATATAGGCAACGATTTTTTCTAATTATACAACAGATTTTTAGCATAGCAATAGACTTAAAATGTTGTGGTGAAATGATTATACCTCTTTCCGGTTCATTTGCATGTAGAAAGTTACTTTTTTGCCAACATGTGAATTGTTAAGGAAGCTACACACATTTGGTAAATGTTGACGGTCAATAATGATCCGTGTTGATATTTTGATCATAACTTTGTGCTAAATGAACCACCTTTGATAAATTTATTACCTTTGCGTTGAGGTTTGTTTTATTCCATACAACCTTTCATTAAGTTCACAGACTATTTATAAGATACTGAAACTTTAATATTAAAATTTAAAAATATGGGATAAGAAGCAGATGTAGTAAAAATTAAACTCAAAAAGATTTACTTTTTATTAAAAGTGCATGTTTGTTTTACAATCCACGTAGAAAAAGTATATATATGAAGTTTATTTTATGCACGAAGAGTGTAACGTTCCTATATTCAAAGTGGGTGTAAAAAATTTAGAATAACATAACCTAATATATATACATGTACTGATGTACACCCTTCATTTCGAAAGTTACATTAACCGTTGAAATTAAAATTGAAATTACTTGTTAGATTTATGTAGAAAGAAGAGGAAAAATTGTAAATAGCACAATGGAGTTGATAGCTCACTGGAATTGAGATTGATGCAAAAGTAAATGAAAAATAAGAAATGGAGTTGATAGCTCACTAGAATAACGCTAGTGACATCTAGAGAGAAGGAGAGCTAAGAGTAAAGAGAGATATCAAGTGTATTAAATGATTTTTCAACCGTTTACATTACTCCAAGAGGGTATTTATACCAGTAATAAATACTATTAGGTGCATTAAATGCACATACACGTGTAAAGTTGTCTATGAACGAGAGCTCTGCTATGTAGCAGAATGTGATGTGTGGCTTCACAGGTCATATGCTGAGGGTTTGGACGAAGTGATGCGGGACAAGTTGTCGAATCCCTCATCTTTGTGGTCCATTTTCCCTGAGTTAGCTTCTATTAGGACGAGGTGTCGGATGCCGAGACACCTATATGGATCGAGATCTGTTCGGGGTGCCTATGGCCCGATTCCGTTGTTAGTGGTTGCTTTGTTAGCATGGATCATCGTCTGGCTAAGCTAAGAGGCCCATGTGAGCAACAACACAAGAGATCGAGTTCTTTGTTTGGCCCGTTTATATATCTATGAGTATGTGTGTGGTCATAGGTCTAGGCTCATATACTTTTTTTGAATTTCAAATAACTAATTTATATTAAACGATAACAAAGATACAAGAGAATGAATAGGCTAAGGCTACAATGGGATGAGACATAGAACGGAACAAATTCAATGAATCCTTCGAGATCGCTAACCCCGCGATAATGTAGCTAGTCTAGTCTAACAGCTTTGCTGCTCTTCTTGCTACTCCAATGAGAAAATAAAAAATTACAACTAAAAGATCCGGCTTCACTAGCCACCGAAAAGGGAGAATTGGTTTGACCAGCAACCAACAAAAGAAAATCAGTCGAGCAGAAATTTTCTGAAACATCGGTTTGACCAGCCACTGAAAAGGAGATCCAACTAATCATCTTCTTCCTAGAGCGAGGCGGTGGTTCAGGTGGTGGACGAGTATTTGAAACATCGGAACAACAAGGTTGAAAAAGCTTTACCAACCATGAACAACGAAAATTCACCAGATCGATTACACCGATTAGAAACACACAACTTCTAGACATTGCTAGGAGAATAACATATCACACGCTCACATGAAGCGAACAAAATTCTCGGCCAATGAAGAAGCCGGACCAAAATCCTTGAAAATAGAAATTAAAAATGAGCGAAAGCATAGAAAAACCTTTGATTCAATCTTTCACTGCATAGAGAATGTCACTATCTTCTGAAACTTTTTGCTGATTGAAAAAGAAAAGGTTGAAAATCGGATCTTGAAGAGGTTTGGAGATGGCCGCCCAGGGTTTCCCCTAGGGCCGGCTTTCCAAAAGCTCGCTGTTTTAGGCTTTTAGCCTTGAACTTAGAATTTGAGCTCATATACTCTATCATCATGAATATATCTATGTTATTTCTTTGCAATTAGTGTACTGTGTTGTGTTTCTTTTGAAGTTATTTATAACTACAAAAATCAGCTCAGAGCGAACGTATTCTTTGGGGGGTTTGGAAATAGTTTTCATGGGTTATGTTTCTTCAAAATTGTTTTCAGTTCATTATATCAAAATTGATATTAATAAATAAAAATAGTTTTCCAAATTTTATTTCCATGAAGGCACAGGAGATTTGACTATATAATTACAAGTACAATAACTAATTAAAAAGGAAATAAATAAGATAAGCATGACCAAGACTATATTTGGGGACATATTGACTACCAATAAATTAATAAATAGTCCAAAACTCCAAATGGAGTAAGAATTTCATTGTGGTGCGGTTAAAAAAATTAAAAATAAAAGTACCGCGTAAAAGAAAGAGAAGGTAAAGGTAAATTGTGAGAAAACTAGCAATGAAATGACTGTCACCCAATGGGAAAGGTGGCAATTACACCAAAATTGCTCAGCACATGTCCATTGCACGATCAACATGTATTACCAATATACGAAGTATCAAATGTCAAAGGCAAAAAGCCAACTGGCAATTTTTGATCCTTCACAGAAAGAGATGCAAAAAGAAATAAAATAAAAGCCCCAAAACGACAAAAGCAAATAACTAAAGGTACCTAGTGTAGGCTAGGATTTGTGCCTTGCTACCATTTGGTTTCCTAGAGCTGGCCTCCTCTAGGGCCCCTCCTATAAATACCTCCATATTCTTCCCATTTCTTTTGTGCTTTCTCCCTTCATTCTTGTATGAAAAAAGTGGCCATATCTTTAAGAGAAAAAAAACCTCAAGAATGAACATATCAGGCTCTGAATGCACCTCTGGCTGCCAATCTGGCTGGACAACCTATTTTGACCAGTACTCAAATTCTGCTTATGAGTACAACAGAGTTGTTCATGTCAATGGTGATGATAATAGGGGAAAGTTGGAGGTTTATAGTGAAGATGAGGACTTGTCTATGGTGTCCGATGCATCATCGGGACCACCGCAACATCGGGAAGACTACTACGGATGTTCTTATTCCCCTCCTCGGCGCTGCAAACCTACGCAAACACGAAAAACCAAAGAGCATTGTGGTGGTGAAACACAAAATTGTTGTCTTGATGATACTGCTAGCTCATTGAGCTTCCCTTATCAGGTAAACTATTCTATTCAATGCATAAATTATACTCCATTTTCTTTTGCAATGTACTGCATTTCTGACGCTCCAGAATCGAACGGACAGTTATGTGTGACGATGAAATTGAACTATAATCTCTCCTTTCTTTTGGTATATTATTTTTTCCTTCACATGGTTGCCACCGGGCGTGCCTTTAGGCCGGTGGGAGACAGTTCATTTCTTTTTGTCAATACTACTACGAAGTACAAAATAAATATATCGATCAGCCCCTCCTTTAATTTAACAAACTTCCAAACGAATGAAAGTGGTATATGTTAAATTGATAGTACAGGAAAACAAAAGCAACTCCACAATTATCTCCTGAAAAAAGTGAAAATAATCATATCTCTCGCGATAAACAAAAGGAAAGATTTAACATAAGAAAAAGGAAGATATACGTATATAGATATCACTTTTTTATCTTGGGTTTAATTTTCTCATTGGAAATACACCGGGCGCGTAAAAACTGTCATCTATTATGGTGGTAGAAAGGTTTATTTTATTTTTTTCAATGCTACTACAATATTCGGTAATCTTATTTTTAGATGTTTCTCTTGGTAACAATTCATGTGATCCACAAATAATCATTGTTTTTTTATTATTTATCCGAATGAGTCCATACACGCTTTATTATACTCTTTCTTCGTCTAAATTATCTCCTCTTTGCTTTTAAGATATAATTTTGTGGTTGGTATTTTTCCTCCTATCAAAATATTACTCTCCCTTTTTCAAATTGAGATGCAAATTTAACTTATTTAGCTTTTGTATTCAATAATTAGGATATCAATTTTTAATTCAATTCTAATTTGAATTTCCAACTTTATAGAGATTTTAATATAGTTTTGAATACATAAATTTTAATTATTAAAATTAAATTAATTATCAAAAAGTGTTGACTTTTCAAAACAATTTGGAGCGGATGTTAATTGAGATATTACCCAAAATGGGACTAAAAAAGTTTGGAAATTCCAAAATAGGACTTCCATGTTTTTATTCCCAAAATAGGATTAATTACTGTCATGTTTTGGCAGTACCAGACTTCAAACATGGCAGTATTTTCCAAATTTGGCAGTAATTAGTTCTATTTTGGGAATAAAAACATGACAGTCCTATTTTGGAATTATCAAACTTTTTTAGTCCCATTTTGGGAACTTTCCCATGTTAATTATATTCGGCCACATAATTCTCGCTCTACTAAATACTATCCTCCGTCTCTTTTTAATCGCAACATGTTGAATTTTACATTATTCACATGTTCTTCTTTGACTACATTTTATATTATTATTTTATGAAAATTATTTTTTTAAAATCATATGGTTCAATTCATCTCATTACAAATTTTCAAAATCTAACTTTTAAATATTTTTTTACTAATAAGGATTAAGATATAATTACGGTCAAAAATGTGCGTTGGCAAGTGTGAAATGTTGACCGTTGCAACTAAAAAAGAACGGAGGAAGTATGAGGTAAATGTATGATGGAGGGTTGAATATATGGAAACTGTCTTATTGAAAGTTGATTTAAATTTAACATTATTTGATAAAAAAAATATTGACTTTTCAAAACAATTTGAGGATGTAATATTCGACCACATAATTCTAATTCTCGCTCTACTAAATATGAGGTAAATGTATGGTGGTGGATTGAATATATGGAAACTATCTTATTGAAAGTTGATTTTAGGTGTAATGAGGGATGTCCACAACAAAATTGAGACCTTGATCGAGACCATACCTAGTCAAAGGCACCCAAGAGCTAGCTAAGAAAAATGATAATAAAAAATGGTTCAATATTCAAATTCATGACAATTTAAGCAAACTAATGACCACTAATATAATAAAGAATGTTCACATTCAATAGTCTTGCGGAGTGTCTTTAGTTTAAATGTTCAATAGCTTTTATGCGTATTTGACATTTCTCTTTTCTCGTTTAAAATCGTTCGTTATCAATTGGTTTATAGTCAAAATGAAACGGATTTTCTATATATATGTGTCGTAACAATGTGTGTTAAAAAAGATTTCTACTGTGCGATAATGAGCACACGATCACGATTCACGAATGCATAACATACACAATTTTCAATTATTTAAAGTTTCTTGAAAAATTTGATGATTTCAAGTAAACGTAAATTTATACTTTTCTTAATTGAGTTATAACAGTTTGAGTGCACAATTTAAGAATAATTTTTAAAATACACAAAGATTCAACAGTCTTGAGTTGTTTTTCATGTGTGCGATATATGGGCATGCATAGAATACAAAAGTTAAAAGTTAATTAGATTGAAGAGGAAATACGAGAATATTTTTACTTGAACCGTAATTTCTTTTTTATATGATGTACTCCCTATTAAATTTGATTTGATATGGTATGTTTACCGATGTTTTTAATTGGACTGAAATTTTCGGTTTAATCTTAATTAAAGGAGTAATTAAACTTAATTAAAGGAGTTATTAATCTCACTAATGCTCAAAAGGGGAGCTCGTGAATTTCAAGATTGAAATTATCGAGTTGCAAATTGATGTACTCCCTCTGTCCCCCTAAATAAAAGACAATATTTCTTTTTTGTGATGTCCCTATACAAAAGGCTCATTTATCTTTTTGACAAACAAAACAGTGCAACACAGTGTCAAACAGTGTCCAGACAATGTCCAAACAGTATTCCTTCTTAAGTTGTGTGTCAGTCAAACTATGTCTTTTGTATAGGGACGGAGGGAATATATATTTTAGGGTATATATATCGAGAGTCCCGTTCCTATCAGGAGCTCCTGAAGAGAAGCCCCGTGCGGACAAGCCCATCAGAGAGTCTTCCCGGTGGAATTTTTTGATGAAATTTTTTGAGCATGTTCCTCATCAAGTCTAGTTTGTCCATACCAAATTTCAGCTCAAAATTCGATCGGGAAGGCAGTCAAATAAATCCGGGAAACATACTGCACTTTATATGTGCGCAGAATGAGCCATAGTTTTCCAGGATTTATTTGACTGTCTTCCCGATCGAATTTTGAGCTGAAATTTGGTATGGACAAACTAGACTTGATGAAGAACATGCTCAAAAAAGTGCATCAAAAAATTCCACCGGGAAGACCCTCTGATGGTCTTGTCCGCACGGGACTTCTCATCAGGAACTCCTGATGTGAACTGCCCTCTATATATCGATGATGTATCAAATGGTTCAAATCCTTATATTATGATAATATTTTGATGCTTTTAGTGTACGTACATTCAATTACTAGTTCTAAGTTCAACGTCTAAGTACATTTAGTAACTACGAGTGGTTATGTAGTTTTTAGTGTACATTTAATTACTAGTTCAAAGTCAAGTACATTTAATTACTAGGAGTAGTTCCTAGTAAGCTCGGAGAGGGATATAGAACGCGCATCATTTTCTTAGGAAGTTAGAAGTCACGCTTTTCCTATAGGAAGGTGCCACGGAACGTCTAGGCCGGTGACGGAAAGCGCTTTTTTATCTTAAACGTCAATACTACTACAGTATATCACTTTTTCTTGGGAGTAGGGTTCTTTTATGCCGTGTTTGTGTTTATTGTATACTTTTTGTGTACATCTTTCGAACACGTGTCTCTAGGTCTTGCGCACAGAGAGTTATCTGTACACAGCCAACTATGTGTGGCTCTACAGAATTGTTTCTATACAGACAGCTCTGTGTGGTCCTACAGAATTTTTTGTGTACAGACAATTTTGTGTACGTAAGACAGACAAGTGTACGAAAGGTGTACAAAACCATGTACACCCAGCGAGCAATTTTTCAGAATTAATGTCAATTTTGCTTTTTCATTTTGCAAAACATATATTTATACACATTTTTTTGTACAACTTTGTATACATGTTTGCTATTTTATGTATTTGTACACATACAATTCACTTAAAACTGATAGAATTATGTGTGTATAAAGACAAGTCTAACGTGTAAATGTGTGTGCAAAACTTGTACACCCATGCCTGTGATTCAAAATTAAATGCCATATGCTTCATTTTTTTGAAGCAACCATACATATGCTTCATTAACAAGTTATGCTTCATTAACATTACTATTATTATTTTCAGGAAAACGCAAGTTTATATGATGACACAGTTTCCGCGGAATATGTTACCCATGTCTCTGAAACACAGCTTAAGGTTCATATACGAAGTATTTATTAATCTTTTGTCTATAATTAAAAAAAAACACTTGGTATTCTGTTCTCAAGCAGTTGTACGTAATTCCTTTCAGGGTAATAATTCAGTTCTTAGAAAGCATTTTGGGTTCTTGAAATCTTCTGTGAGTAGCAAAGCTGCTTCACTGAAATCTGGTGAGTAAACAATATACAATTTTTTTGTTTAGTTTTGTTTCAAAATGCCTCTTTATTACATTCATCACTCCATTCAATTGTTAAATGTTAACTCCTTTTCTTCCCTCATAATACGATTTTGTGTGTGTGTGTATATATATATATATAATTTGTTTCAAATAAAAAGTAGTTACTACAATAAATAAGAACTAATATTGATCAATTGATATGAACAAACGGATGAATAAGATCAAATTAATTAGTAAAAAAAGGCAATTATATTGTTGTAAATATGTAGAATTTGTAATGGAAATTCGGTCACAATCACGACATGCAAAAAATGTATCGATACATCACAAAAGTGTATCAACATTTCAAAAAATATATATGTATATATTTTAAGACATGTGGTTCTATCTTCAATTATATGAGATGATGTTTGTTACATTTAAACATCCCTCAACTCAAATCAGATTGGACAACATAGATTGTACAAATGGGACAAATATCTATAATCGAAATAAGCTACCTTAATCACGAATTGTTAAGCATGCAAACGATCAAACTACATACAATTAGATTTCACTATAATACCACGAATTTAATTTTCGTCCTAAAGTGTCAACTTGATAGGAGGAGACGTGTAATATTTATATAATTAATGGTTCATTATGTTATAATCCTTATGAATTGATTTGAGAAGATTAATTCAAACAACGATGATAGTTTCTAACACTCATTAATACGATTTTATGTAACACGATGCAACGTAACTTTGCTTATCAAATTTAACTAGTTTATTATTTTTTTAATGCTTCTTTTGAAAATTAATCTAATCCCTGTCTCTATCTTCAAGCAATGAAATGTAATGATTTAATAGCATATTGAATTGGTTTTTTTTCATTTGGACATTTTTGTATATATAGTTCGTATAATTTAACATATATATATTCTAAATTTTTCCACAGGTGCTACAAAGGCAAGAAAGAAGCAATGAAAAATGGTTTCCTTTGTCTGTCTAAACAGTCTACAGCTGCAGATGAAAAGAGAAAGAGGATTATTTGTTATCCCATTTTTTTTTAAAATTCATCTTTTGGGTTTTATATGACGAGAGAAATTTAGCGTCGCTATGGTGCTTCCGTATATTTTTTATTTTATTTATTTACTACGGAGGAAGCGGTTGATGTAAATGAAAAATGCACCACAATTTTGTAAAAAAAAAATTGTGGATACTCCTGCCACAAATACAATTTTGTGGATCATGTTTTTACCCTCCCCCACATTCTCCAAATGATTCCACGATTATGATGTAACATTGGTGTCAAACACCCAAGATATCTAATGAAATTTATATTTGGATACTCCTGCCGTTTCCTCTCACTTTCAACTCTCAGACATTTGAAGTGGAACATGTGTAAGATTAAATTTCTATTCACTATTATTGTTAGATCTACTTCTTAAAACTAATTTGGTTTATTCAGAGAGTGGGAAAAGATATTAGGGCCCGTTTGTTATGATGTAAAGTAAACACTTTGCGTGCAAAGTGTGAGGAAGTAAATATTTTACACTGTTTGTTTTAACTGTTTAATGTAAACTGTAGGACACTTTTTAAAAACCATTTTACACTGTACCATGTAAAATACTTTACGTGGGGGTAGTAAACTAGTTTACATCCGTTAATACGGGAGAATAAATACACCGAATTACATACGACAACCAAAAATCTTGCCGGCAATGAATTAAACTCGTTTTTTCCTCCTGTGTTGCTCCAGTAAGAAAATAAAATTGGTAAACCACATCATCAAATCTCTTTCTCCATCTGTGTTGCTCTACAGTCTACACCCGTCGTTCCAAGAGAGCTTCTACAATGATTTATTCTCTAGATTGGCAGACTGCAGGTGTTGTTTAGTTTTTTTAGAAACCAGCCTCTTTGATTGTGTAACTGTGCAAGTATTTTATGTTTTATTTTTTTGTAAATATTACACGTGTAAAATTAGTTTCCAAACAAAAAGATTGTGTGTAATTTAAAAACAGATTACATAGATAGTCAAACGATGTATTTTTAGTTTACATGTAAACTAATTACAGCCCTACACTTTACGTGCAATTATTTTGCATGTAAAGTTTTAATGTGTGAACTACCAAACGAGCCCTTAGAGTGTTTGAGTAAAATTGCAAAAGCGTTTCTGAGGACTCCAAAATGCTCCTAGAAACCGTTTTCAGAAGTTAAGAGAAATCAGCTTCTGAAAACTTATTCTAATTTTATTTCTGTTTTATAAAAAGAAGCATAAGTAGAATCAATTTCAAACACTTCCATTCTTATATAGTTTTAAATGGATTGACACTTAAAAACACTTGAATTCGTGATAAATGAATAAATAAGAATGATCACATCTCTTTTTATTTGAGACTCTTTTCATCTCAAATTTCTTAAGATCATGTATTATGGTCATATACTATTGTAGTTCACAACAAGCAAAAATATCATCAATATATAGTACTAATTTATAAATATTCTCCCACTATCGTAATATTCTCCCACTGAACGCCGTTTTCTATAGAATTATAAGAAAAAATAGTATTATAAAATATTATATATCATTACTTGGAATTGAAACTTGTTTTAGTCCATATATCCAAACCAAATATAGAGTTCAAAGGTATAGAAGAGTTCCTACAACTATAATAAAAGTACCAACGAGGTTGACTATGATCACATCCAGATTTATCTGTCTTATTGTCTAGGGGCTTTGAATTACCGTTCATAAACTACATGATTATGGGAGCGTAAGTTCCGACATCTGAATTATTAAAAAAATGAAAGTCATAATTAAAAAATAAGTCTACATTATTACAATTTAATATGCTTGAAACATGAAATCCAATTTGTTGCGAATTTTGATATAACGACGCATGCATTTATTTCCTCTGTGATGGCAGACATCCCAAACATTTCCATCGTCCTCCTTTCACACAAGACAAACACCCTAACTGCTCTTTCTTTTGAGTTATTAGCTCCTCCACATATTTTGCAAAGAGAACCGAGCAGTGGGATTATGCTGTCATGTTGCATATTTATCAGCAATAATAGATGAGCTCCAGGTTAAGACTGTGTTTGGCCCTATAGGTGCTATAATGCCATTGAAAAAGACAAGGACCCCATTTCATGTGCAACTGACTCCATAGCAGTAGAGAGGCAGAAGCTCATGTATGATACTCCGTACAATACTATATAACAATTTTTTTTAAAGAAGGGTATAACTTACCCTTTTTCGGCTTATTAGACTTATCAGCCAGCTTTTTCACCAAACACGTAACTTTTTATTTCGCACGCTGAATTTTGTAATAAGCAAAAAAAGTAAGGTTCAAGTTACTTTTCTGACTGTATTGACTGAAGTTACTCTAGAGGAACATGTTAGCTTTTCTTCATATATTTTTTATTTAATTTATTAATTAATCAATCAATCATCATTTACCCCAGTGCCGCAAAGGCTCCCACCTGCGGTGGGGTAAGGGGGGGGTCGGATGTACGCAGTCTTACCCCTGTACTAAAGCATAGAGAGACTGTTTCCGGATGACCCATAATAAAAATCGACTCCAAAATTGCATGGACTGACTGCTCGCTGCTTCATAACAAAGAAGAGTAGACAGTTTGGTGAGCCATTTTGCTTTATTCCATCATATTGTCAAGCCAAAAAATAATAAATCTTTGGCTCCATTACAAATATTTTAAATACAATTTTTTTCATAAATCAGCAGAATCAGTCAATACAGTCATTTCATCCCGAACTTCATAAATTTCAAAAGAATCAACTAATTTAGCCAATTTTTATGATACCAAACGGGCTCCTAGTATCGTATGAGATATTGTGACTTTATAATAGCCACTGTTTTCCAACAGGGACTCCTAAGAACATCCTAACAAAACAATACTATAACTAAAAAACACTTATTATTACCACCCTTTAATGGTTTATGTGAGTAATCAATTGATCATTCACCCGCCCCATTTCACTTATATATCCACAACTAAAAAGGTAAATACACTACACACAAAGAGGCCGTTTGACAACATTGTTTTTCGGCTTATCAGACATATCAGCCAACTTTTTCACCAAACACGTAAATTTTGCTATCGCGCGCTGAATTGTGTAATAAGCAGAAAAAGTAAGGTTGAAGTTATTTTCCTGACTATATTGGCTAAATTTACTCTATATTATAATAGATTAAAGAGAAAAGTACGAAAAAGGTACATGTGGTTTGGACAATTTTCAGATAAAGACATGTGTTTTATTTTTTAACAAAGTGGGACATGTGTTTCAATTATGTTATCACAGCTGAGGATGACATCTAATGCCGTTGGAAAAATTAACTATGGTTTTCAAAAGTTTTCAAAAAATTAAAAGAAAAATAATGGGAGGTGCGCCTCGTCAAGGAGACCAACAAACTATCATCTCTTTGGATTTTTGGCTCTATTTGGATTATTTTTAAAATCAATTTCACTAATATCACTTTTATGGTAGACTTTCTGGAGACATGGTGACTGGAAAAAAAAATGAAAGATGGTCTAGATGTTTTCTTGACGAGGCACACCTCTTAGTATTCTTTTATTTTATTTTAATCTCTATTGTATTTCAAAGAGATAAGCCCTTATGGAGAGATTGGTTTGGCCGCTCTCTCTCTCTCTTTGTATTTTTAATTTTAATAAAATTTTGCAAATGTTCCTACAATTTGCTCTATCGATACATGGTTTACCTTCCGGGTTAAACAAAATGGATTCTTAACAATAAAAAAATAGGGGTATCTTGTGCACTTGCCCTTTATTTTCACTCTATTTTGCTTTTAATTTTGTAAGGGAAATTTTTGTTATGTATATACCAAAAATTTGTACACGAATTATATACAATTTGTGTACATTAAGTCATTGACAGACAATTATCGGTTTTTAACAAACAACCTATAAACACTAGTAACCAAAATGCATGTACAATTTATGTACTAATTTTGTGTACAAATATAATTTTATATTGAAAAATTACTTTAAATAATATCAACCATTTGAATGTAAAACAAAAATAATATGAAGTTATTTTTTTTATACAAGAAATCAAGTTATTTAAGACATCAAAAGCTAATGACAATCCATCAAATAAATGATATTTGAAAATACATTCACTTATTAGATATTTTATACAGAGTACAAGTATTTGATGTGTTAAATGGTTGAATTTTAGTAAAAAAATTATTAAAAACTGTGTATTTTCCTTTTTTTTATATTAAAAAAAAGTTATTTTTTCTTTAACTTTTTGTAATTTTGCTTCCAACTTATGAAGCCGCTGATTCCTGCGGGTACGGATACAGGCCAGTCACCGGCGCAGAATCTCTTCCATCTTTTCAAGTCGTATATCTTCTGGCACTTGTTTCCGAGCAATATAGTACTCCTCACCGTCAAGGTCTCAAGGGTTTGCCACATCAGATCGGACCTTCAAAAAATCCAGCTTACACTGTGATCAGAAGCTCATTCCTTCCTCCTCAATGGAGGACGCTTATGCTAGATCCGTACACGAGGTATATTTTATCATATTTCCGGCACAAGAAAGCTGGAACAGTCTTCTAGAACAATTCAAAATATCGACTTTTTAGTAGTATGATGATGTGACGCAGTATTTAACTATTTGGGCAGGTTCTTGAGTTTTTCGGCGTGGAATTATCCAAAGGTCTTACAGATTCACAGGTGCATGTTCTTCGTAGTTCCTACTGTAATCATGTCCTAACTTATAGTGAATCAAGTTAAATGCATTTGCTTTGTAATGTCGTTATCATTTCCAAATGCTGGTTTGATCAATTTGCAATGAACCACTTTTGTTCTCCTTAATAGGTTTTTAGTTTTTCTTGCAATGAATGATGAATCACTTCGGTTTTCCTTATTTTTGAAGAATCACTCCTGTTTTCCTAAATAGATTATTAGTGTTACGTTTTCTATGTTTCCAAGGTACTTCCTTTTTTTATTCAGCTGGAATTTGAAGTTGCAATCGTTTCCCTTTTCTCAGGTTGTACAGCATACTAGGTTGTATGGAAGAAATGGTAAGCACTCTCTACCCCTTTTTGCAATCTTATGCATATTATCATACTCCGTATTATGTTATGCAAATTTACCACAAACAATGAATGCCGAGTATTATGGCTATCATAGACAACATTCTGTATTATTGTATTACATTGATATGTGATCACTTAATTTGTGAAAGATGTTGCAACTCGAGGGTTATAAGCATCTAATGGAAAAATAGGCAGTTATGTATTACTCCCAAATTAATTATGAGCTCAGCTTGGTGGGTTGAAAGTCAGGCCAAGCTACTCATTTTTCCATCATTTGCAATGGAGCC